CCTGGGTTCAAGTCCCCCTCTTTCTCTCTGCTTTCTCCTCTCTCTTCCCTCCCTTTCTCTTCTTTCTTTCTCCTCTTTTCTCTCTTCTATACTCTTTCTCCCTCTTTCTGTTCTCTCTCCCTCTTCTCTCTTTCTGCTCTTCTCTTTCTCTTCAGACCGCCTCTGTGGTCTAGAGGTAGAGCGTCCGCCTGGAGAGCGGAAAGTCCGGGGTTCGATCCCCGGCCATGTCATACCAAAAGACGTTAAAAGATCGTACTTGTTGTTACCCTGTCTGGCACTTGGCATTAAGGGGCTAAAACAAGGACTGGTCGGCTCGGAGTCAGTATACTGTGTCTGAGTGGGGTATTCATGTTAAACTGCGGCATGATATCTCAGTGAGCTAGTACTATAAATTGGCATCAGTCCGGACTAGTACAAGCAGCCACACAAACACACACACATACATGCACGTCCCTATATAAGTGCAATAATCTTGGATGCGACGTTAAACCCCATTTCACCTCCCCGCTCTGCTCTGCTCTGCTCTGTCTCTCTCTCTCTCTCTCTCTCCCTCTCTCTCTCTCCCTCCCTCTCTCTCTCTCCCTCTCTCTCTCTTTCTCTCTCTCCCTCCCTCTCTCTCTCTCTCTCCTCTCTCTCTCACTCCTTTATGTCCATTCTTTCTGCTCTTCACTCGCTCTGGTGTACATCCTAATGTCCAGTTTGACAAGGACTACCTTAGACGCTCAAGTGCAGTACTGGAGTGTTCTCTATTCACACATAAGGGTGATACAGCTGCAACATTGCTAAAATCACTCTCACTCAATATATTTCATCTCATAAGTGAACATTATCCAATGCATGCAAATATATAAATGTATTACTCTTTGCAAAAGAAAATTGTTTTTGTGAGTACATAATATACCATTCTATTTGTACTCAATCCCATTCTACTTTTTCGGAAATGTTTTAAATGTTAGACCAAACATCAAAGATATTCAAGACAATAATTGGATATGTATTTTTTGTTTTTTCCTTTGATTTATTCTTTTAACAAATATGAGCGCTATGCAAATAATTATAACAAAGGAGATATATCGTAAAATATTCCCTGCTTCTAAAGGACAGAGCCTTATCAGTATTCCATTTAGCAAAACAATACCACAATTGACAGTTAATATGAAGATTTATCACCAGTTGGAAATAGCCATTTGAGAGCAGCATGCCAGATGGTAGAAGGCTTTTGGTTTGTTTCAATATGTTCTTAATTCTTTATTAATTATTTTTCCATGGCTTTGTTACATACATATATTTTATGTCTTAATTTTCAGTACGTTTGTATCAAAATGCCCACTCATGTCTATTTTTTCACATTGTTCTACTAATAGAAATAGAAATATTCTGCTTCCATGGTCTAAATATAGAGCGTCAGCCTGTACATCGAATGCCCATGGTTCAATCCCCTGTCTGCATAATACCAAAAGAGGGTAAAAGATGGTACTTGTTGTTAAAGGGATAAAATGAGGACTGGTCAGACAGACTCAGTTTTTTTGTGTCTGAGTGGGGTATTCATGTTAAATTGTGGAATGGTGTCTCAGTGGGCTAACACTATAAAATGGAACTAGTACAAGCACCCACATGTGCATGCACGTCAATATATAAGTGCAAAAATCTTAAACCAAATTTCACTTCACTTCATAAACCGTATATGACAGCGGATAAGCCGACCCTGTAGATAAGCCAAGGTATCAACTTGACCATTGAAATATGAAAGAACATGATATGAGCCGTAGATAAGCCGTTTCAGGAAGTGAAAGGCACAGACACATCGTGAAGTCAGACTGCAAGACTGTGCCGGTACATGTACTTGCAGATATTCAATAATGTAAGATGAAAAACGTTGTAATTATATTGAAAAAGTCATTATTATTTTCTAATGAAGTTTTAACAAACCAGTCATCCACTCCCCTAATGTGGGAAGCTGTTTCCATTGTCTTTTTTTAATCTCATAATGATCGTTATGTTGCTATCAACAAAGCGCCATTTAAGTTAAAATGGTAAATGTGTCAGAAATGTTCAGTTCCATAGAAAGTTCCATGGAGGGTTGTATTTCACTGTCTTGTTCTCGAGGGATGTCCTCGTGGAAATCATTACTTCACATATAAAAAATATAATTTTCTTCATGATTGTTTATTTCCATTTCATTTGAATCTTTAAATTTGATATGTAGATGAGTAGAAACCTATTTCAAACTGTTTAATCCCTGATGGCTGCAAAAAGAAGCAATACAATATCTCGAAACATGATCTGTAAAAACTATACAAAAAAACAACATGATGAGGAAACACTATAAGGGATAATTGTTCTGTGACATTTTACTCCTTGAACAACGGAAGACGTATCTATGTAATGACATCCACCAGTTTATGACCAACGCCGTCATCTGAAGCCAGGCAACACCAATTTCTTGTCTTGGTTTATCTGTCTATCCTATGTTCTGCAAACATTTAAAAAATATAATAATCCCTGCCAAAGCCATACCTCTATTACATCATTGCCATTATCCTGTATGTTGGCTGTCACCAGTCTATGAAAATCTTTACATTTTCATCAGAAGTTCTCTTCAACGTCAGTTGACCCTAATTAGTTGTGTGGATAATAGTTTTCCTCTGTGTTTTTGTGCATACGCAAGGCGGGAAATCTTCAGCTCTTTCCTGTGTGTGCTAGAGTCAACAATGATGTAATAGAGGTTAGAATTATTAGCAATGGTAACTATAGCATGATTTGGTGATGCATCAGGTTGATAGTGTGATTTAATCCCATCAATTTTACCTCACCTGACTGCACTGAAGGTATCTTTTGTCATGGCTTGCTTGTCGGGCAGCATCGGCATCAGCAGTGTCTGTAGACATCCTCTCCTCAGAAACCATTGGCCCAATGAAGCTGAAATTTCACATGCTTGTTCCCACCAATGATGCCACCATACCACCTTAATTTGTTCAAAAGATTCAAATTTGATTTTCAATATGGCGGGCATATTGAAGAACATATTTGTGATCATGACGAGGAGATTTCTACATATCGACCAAACTGTTTTCAATAACACCCACATGAAATTTTGTTTTGAATAACAGTAACAGACATGTTGCCATTAAATATGACCAAATTGATTTAATAGGATGGGAACGAGATATCATTTCATCTCAAAAAGAGAACTGAAAATCTTTGAAAAAGTTTTGGTGTTGACATGTAGAGTACATTTCCACTTTTGTCCCTTCAGTGACCAAAATGTCCGAAGCAATTCAACCATATGTTGCCATGTTTTCTCTCAGAGGAACAATTGACTTGCCTTTGCATGTGTGTGTGATGAGTGCCACAAGTGGAGCAGGATCTGCTCACCTTTTCGCAAACACCTGGTATAAGCACTATTTGATAGTGATTCATAAGCTTGATGATATAGTCTGAATCGTACAAACGGCTATGCTTTTCTGTTCTGATTATGGAAAGGGTTTTGTCTCTTTCATTTTATGTATTTTTGTCCCAATTATGTTAAGTAATTTCCGTGTTAGCACTAACCTTTAACTTACTGTAAAGAAGTAGCCCCATGCATAGGGAACGACCACGTTTTGATTTTCATGCCAGATTGGACTTCTCCTGTGTTGATGCAGTGGAAGTCTTCTCATCTCTTATGTGCCAATTTTTCCTGGAATTTAAATTCCTTCATTATTATTTTTATGGGAGTTTAATCATTAGTGCCACTTCAATTTGTCCTTCTGTTGCTGAGCTGAGGGCCAGCCTGGTGATTATTTGGTTTCCAGCTCTCAAATTTCATTGATGGAACTCTAAAGTTTCAAGGTAAAAAGTGACATTTCATATAGCTCATTTGGGTAAGAAGTTTCAAGAAAAAAAACACTTTTGAATGATTCATTTGAAAACTGTCATCCCATTTGTAGGACTGATGGGAAGAAAATATGGGAAGAACAGAAAAGGTCAAGTTTCCCAAAATTGATAACCCCCTAAGTTGTTAATTAGTAAATTGTTCATTCGAAATCAAAAATAGTTTATTTGAAGGCTTGTTGTTATGGGCGGGAACTTATTACATATAGGAATGTATATTTTTAAAACAATTGTCCTTACATTCCTTACAAAGTTTCTCTGAAGTTAAGGAAAGATGAATTAAGTCATTGCTAAAACATTCTCCAGGTTTTCCATGTGTTGTTTGTGTTTGAAGGTGTGGACGTCACCAGATTTTGTGCCCACCTAGTAACAACCTTATGTTGCTGGTTACAAGTGGGAGTTCTAGCTTCTGATTGGTTCCTCGGCCTCTGGTTGGTGAGGCAATGACTTCCATGGATGTGCTAGCACCATAACATAGAAGCTGATATCGTATAGCACTGGGATTTCATGGGTTGGGGGGTAGCTTGGTTATAATTTGTAACTTTCAGAGCCTGTAGACTGATTGATGGATTGTAGTGTTGTATGCTTTTGAAGGATTTATCTGAGGAATAGGGTAAGGTTTGGTTGATTTGATATTTTTGATTGATAGACCTGCTGTTTGTTTGATTGTCATGCAATGTTTCATTAGAATAGTATTTTTTCCTCTTTTTAATATGACTTCCCTAACCTACTGCAATGCTTTTTCTGGTGTGCAGTGATTGTATGGAGAAATTGTATTGCTGTTCGGATAGATTTGTGAAATGGACGAGTACCTCTGGCATTGTCCCTCGAATCAAGTTCGTTTCATGCAACAGATCCAACAATTGTAAGATGAGACAACATTTGCATGCTTCATGGACAATTTGTAATAAATGATGACATAATTTATCATGAGTGTTATCTGTCAATGTTTATTGCACATTTGCCATGATTAATGCAGATATTTAGTGTAATACAAGCAGGGATATTGGAGGCAGTGAAAGTAAAACTGAGAATGTCCTCAACATAGTTTGCAGGCAGGATGTGATGGAAACCTCTTCTAAAAACTATAAATGCATTGATAAATATTTGTCTTTTTCTGTTCGCAGATGCTGTGAATACATGCAGGTGCTCTATGTGAGGATAAGTGTTTTGGTAAGTATTGGCTGTTGTTATTGTTCTTCAATTGAACGTTGTTTCCTGTAGCTTAACGTCTTTAACGCATAGCTGGGTGTCCCGTCCCAGCCAAACACAACAACGTCGTGGGAATTGTGAAAATATGAGTCATAATTATAAATTAATCTTTCATACGAGTAATGTGTTGGAAGAAATATTTGTAAGTCGTGTTTTGCTCTCATAGTTATGTTATTTTGTGATGTGTCTCTGTGATCAGCTCAGCTGTGTGCTTTTGGCTGAAAGAAGATGCTTGGAGTAGAAGAGAACTTTATTGTATAGAAGGTCCTCATTGGACAGGGTACAAGCACATGTCCAAGAGACCCGTGAAGATCTGGGGTAGAATAGGTCTTCAGCAACCCATGCTTGCCTTAAAAGCGACTATGCTTGTAAGAAGTGACTAACGGGATCGGGGGGTCAGGCTCACTGACTTGGTTAATGCATGCCATCGTATCCCAATTGCGTAGAACGATGCTCATGATGTCAATCACTGGATTGTCTGGTCCAGACTTGATTATTTACAGACTGCCGTCATATAGCGGGAATATTTCTGAGTGCGGCGTTAAACAACAAACAGACAATATGTAATATATATTTGGCACTTTAATGTATTATACAGAAATGTATACATAATCATCTCAAATATAAACAAGCTGGAAATGCAAATTGGTAACTTATGCTTGTATTATATTTTTACCCATGATCTTAACATACACATTTGGTTTATGACATTTAAACACTTGTGGCAGAAGATCTGCTGGACTGAGGTCTTTTAGAGATGTGACTGAATTTAGGTTAATGTGGGTTAGATCTTAAGGATTGATACAGGGAACATCAGTGTAGAAAATATTATGTTTCTACTTCTTCACATATGAAATTCTTACAATATCTTTTGTTACATGGTGTTTGGGCTTATCTGACTTTTTGTATTTGAAGATTGTGTGCACCAAGTTTCAGTTTTGTTACCCGATGCTTGACAATGTTAGGTCAGGTTCACACAGTGCCCATTATGGCTCCTGTTTGAGATCAGACAGCGCTACGACACGAAGAAAAGTGAAAAAGTCGGATTACTATCCTCAATGATCCCGAATGTCCTATCATTGATTGAACGCAGTCGTATACATTCATAACAGAGCCCTACAGACAATATCTGATTTTTTTGGTGAATTTCCCACCACGAATCACAGGATCTTGATCATACTTTTGACAAATTTTAATCAGGAATGGTCTTATCAAGGACGGCAGTAAAAATCCTGAATGTCTGAGCCCTTAACAGGAGATAGATGTTTTATGACGTTGTTTGCTGTTTGTGACATGATTCAACAGGTAGTTGTGGATGCAGTGGCAGGTCAGACAGTGTCCCAATTCTGATGGAAACATACACATCGTTATCCCGCTTGACATTTGGTTGACATTTTCCTTCAAATTCATGATGATTATTACTAATGAGAATTGAAAAGCTGGCATCAATTATGGAACATGTATTTGGCATGGAGGACATTATAAGGGCTAATGGACTCTATATTATGACACACTGTGAGAAGCTGATTGTTTTATCATGAACAATGTTCCTGGTTTAAGCATGATTCAATTCTGTTTCTCACAGAATTTGTGTCTTGGGGGCAGAATTTGATCAGATACACATAATGTTTTCCTCATTTTGAAGCCGGGGCTTGGCAGTCATTAATATCATATTTCAGTTTAAATTATGCAATGACTGTACCTCCCTATCACAAGCAAGTCATGTCGAGACAGGGCTGCGTTTCATGCACTTATCACAACAAGATTTTTGTAACCTCTGATGCAAGAAGTTCGCAGCTAAGCTGGGAATCTATAATACGAATGACATTCGCTTCAGCACTCCGAGGTAGCGGTCTCACTTCCCCAAGGGCCGAACATGTGGCAACCATTACAGCACTGAGCACACAAAAACACGTTCACTTATGTGTTGGGAGCTGTCATTGTGGGTAATTTCTGGGGAGAGCTCTTTGAGACGGGTCATATTTTTGGTGTAACGTTGTGAGCGAAATGGGTGTAGCATTGAAATGAGGCATGATGTCTCGAGGTGCATCGGTGGAGTCTCGGTTGTATGTACATGTTAGTGTTATTGTCATTGGCCCGGAACACACTTCAGCACAAGAAAACAGTTGTAACGGTGTAGATCTGGGTGAGAACTGGTGTAGCTGAGAAAAACCCTTAGGGCTCGCTGAGGGGGTGTTGTGTGCTTGAACAGGCTTTGTATAAGCTAGTCTGTAATGTTCTTTCCTCATGCTCAAGTATCATTGACTTTGAATAGGAATGGGATTTAAATGCTCACAATAAGGACCAGTAGAGTAAAAGATTTGTGTCATTTTGAATATATTGACTTCAGTCGAGTGAAGAAATTGGGTTGAAATTCAAATCTTTTGGTTGCAACAAGTGGAGATGCGTAGTTGTGAAGTATGGAGCACTCTGTTTATCATGGAGTAAACATACAGTGGACATCTTACATGTGTCCCTCTGGGATGTCAAGGTCATATAGGCCCCATACCTCGTGTATTGTAAGCACGGACTGCCATGGGTATTGGGTGGTCCAGCTGTGCGACATGGCTGATTGCGTACCATCCTACCCCATTGGTGTCCGACCTGTGAAGATCCAGGGTAGAATAGGTCTTCAGCAACCCATGCTTGCCTTAAAATGCGACAATGCTTGTCGTAAAAGGCAACTAATGGGATGGGGTGGTCAGGCTCGCTGACTTGGTTGATGCATGTCATCGTATCCCAATTGCGTAGATCAATGCTCATGATATTAATCACTGGATTGTCTGGTCCAGACTCAATTATTTACAAGTGATATTTGACATGTAAATGTGGCGGAGCTATAGCTGTGTTAGTTAACATGTTGATTGATTTATCGACTCTGTATTGTTTGAAGGCTCCACCATGGGGATAAGATACTAGTATCTGTTCCCAGCAACCTATGCTGGTCGTAAGAGCAACCAACTGAATCTGGAGTTCATGTACGTGTCATTGTAACCCGACAGCGTGGATTGTTGCTCATAATATTGATCACTGGATTGTGTCATCCACACTCAATCATTTAAAGACCACAGTCATATTGCTGGAATATTGTTGAGTGTGCCGTTAAACAACAAACAAACAAACATTTGAAGGACAGTTGGGTACCCCAGCTAGTGCTTCCACTGATCATAGGCATGGCTTGTGTTTGAATTTCCAGATACATTTTCAGATCTTACCATTCTGGATATGCATGACCAGTTCTAAGGAGGAGAAAATTCACAAATCTATTTGATATTTTTAATATTTAGTATGCTAAGCACATCGTGATGCAAATAGCTTCACTTCCTCTCCTATTTCAGGGAGCGTTCCCCTAATTGATTTAAGACATGTAATGCACACTCTCTGAAAATTAGATTTCAATCACCACTATGGCCGTGGAAATAAGTTTTCACTTTTGAGAGACGAATTAATTCCTCAATCAAATTAGGTTCTTTTCAATGGTCATCCGTAGGTACTTTACATTTGTCTATCAATCTGCACGACCAGTAAGCATGTTGTCAGTCATCATGTAGTGGCGTAGCCAATGTAATGACTCTTGGATACATTTCCATCAATAGATTTCCCAGAATTCTCCTGAGTCTATACGATACGCGTATCTCATTGAAGCCAGATTTAAGTGACTAACTTTGGACAAGTACATCAAGGTTATACGAGCTTTACGTCTTCATGCACCATCATTCCTTGTGGATTGATGGGAGGAATGTCTCCGTCCCGAGGCACATGTGCAATCAGTTTCAAGTGCAAGACTTGCAGTAATTGCTGGAAATATACTTGACGTCATGTTATCATTGGGCGTTAAGGAGAATTACCTACTGATCCAGGTATAGACTGCGATGCTACATGATTAAATTGAAGACAAATCTTTTGATATGTAATTGCCTTAAAAGGACAAGATAATCATTAAGTATTTCAATATGTACTGACGGTCACATCAGGTGAAATGGGAACAAACATGTATATTTCTTTTTAATTATATCAATCACATTTTATGCATGTGCTGAATGTAATGTTTTTTCATTCTGTCAGTAAGTAATATCACCAACTTCCATTTGACTTACATCTGCCACCACCAATGAAATGGGGTCTTTTCTTACAACAGCTCCACCAGGCTAAGGGACATAACTCCTAAATACAATAAACATGCATACCACTAGCAAGTTTGATATCGTTACACTGAAGATGTAATCATGTATAGTACTGAGAATGGATTGCTTCCCTTTGGCATGCCAAAGGTTCGAATCCCAGATTCGCCCTGAATATGATCCTTGGTTTGTCAGCATTTTACACATGTATGTCGATTTCACTAAAGTTGTAGAAACCTCCATCACTGACAGCATTTCTCCAATATTTACCTGAAAAGATGCGATAGAACTGAAGTACTCATCACACAGGCATTCAACTCCTTCATCCAATATCATGTTTCTGGGAGATTTTCCTGAATTCAGAAATTCAAGTTTTGATTTTCATCCATGTTCAGTATTCAATCATGTATCAAGATACATCAAAAGTTATGTTTTTGCTGATGCTGACTTTTGGCTGGCTAGACTTGCTTTACTGTGAGCTAGGGGCGGTTGGGTAGCCTAGTGGTTAAAGCGTTCGCTCGTCACGCCGAAGACCCGGGTTCGATTCCCGACATAGGTACAATGTGTGAAGCCAATTTCTGGTGTCCCCCGCCGTGATATTGCTGGAATATTGCTAAAAGCGGCGTAAAACCATACTCACTCACTCACTCCTGTGATCTAGATTTGCTTTAGCTATATAATATACACATACTCCACAGTCATAGTGCATACCAAGCTTAAAATGTAGCGGTATGAATTTCCTAATTTCGAAAAATTCTAGATTTGCCCTTTCACTGATTATAAGGCTCTCGCTCATCCATCTCGTGTCATTTACCATAGAAAACAGAATCTGTTGTCTTC